GGACTGAAACCAAAATGACAACACAGATATATAGAAATGGCTCAATAAACTAATTATTACAATTAGACACACCAAACATTGTAGACTTTGATTGAATTTGAAAAATGATTTGTCAACTGTAATTTAATTCGATTTGAAGCCCTCTATTGTTTTAGTTTTACTTCCTAAAAGTTATTTGTGTTTAACTCCCTGTACTTATTTTCTATGGATTATGATTTTTCCCCCCCATATTTTTCTTTTGGTGTATTGCCCCTGAATTATTTCTATACTTTTGGTACTTTTTATTTATTTATTTTCAAATTCACACAATACTAATTGTATTTTGTCATTTTTTATTTTGCCGAAAGGGAAATGTTTTTAATTTTATATAATTTTTTACAATACAGTTAACATAATAGTTTATAGAGCAATTTTTACATCCGTTTTCAGTTGTGGCAGTTTTGGTTCCACTGTCTGATTTGCATGATTACAATGGAATTTCCTGTTTAAATAAGTTTTCTGATGTTTACCTTTGAAATTGCATTATGCTTGCAGAAGATGTACAAAAATGGTACGCTTTTATGTTGTCTACTAAATCCAGTTAATAAAGTTAATGTCATCATAATCTAATTGTAAAATTATGGGTTCTAATTATGTGTAACAAATGAAAACAAATCTAATTGAAATACATAGATTGATATGAGTAAAATCATCAACTCCCATATTGGCTCATTAAGCAAGACTAACAGTAATTGCCTTGATTAACAAGATAGATGTTCAGACAAGAAGATTTAACTGTGTTTTCTCAAGTCTTTAACTGTTGTTGAATGAATTAATAATTTTTTTATTCTACATACTTAAATAAATAATTTTAAGTCAATGAAAGGATACTACATTGATCCAGTGTAATCTGATTAAATCATACCACCAAATTCCAATTATGTTCGTTTGACATGATCAAAAATGGGTTATCGTACTTGGTTAAATTACGTGGAAATAGGTGCCATGATTAGATTGTGTTCATCCGACAACTGATTTCTTTGAGTGTGCGATCGTTCATGTCGGCTCATTTCCTTTTATGTTTTCTGTCTTTTATTTGTGCCTGATGCGTTTCGCTGCTGTGGAGCGGAGCGCATCACCTGTTTTGTCCTCCGGTGGCGCCCCTCACTGATGCGGCCGGCGAGCAGCCCGCACTCCGCTGTTTTAGCGGTCGGTAGATCTTTTAGAACTGCAGTTCAAAGGTAACTCATGAGGTGAATATATATGAACCCAGGTAGCAGTTTTTCTTTAGGATTGAGAGGAGATGCAGGAAGATAATAAACAGATACAGGACAGAAAAATAGTCAAATAAAAACAAGTTAGTTTTTGTACCTGCTAGTTGCAACAAACAGACACCATTGAAGGTAATCAGAAGTGAGGAACAGAAAATGAAATAATTATTTTAATGTTTAGAGCAGCAGGAACTCTGAGAGGCTGCAGGCACATCAGTGAGTTTGCGGCCGCTGCGCGGGGGGAGGGGGGAGGGGGCTGAAGCAGAAACTACCGTTGTTAAAAGAGATGTTTAACCCTTACCCAATGTTTAAATTTTCTACTTTTAAAGTCATTAGAGCACAAAAAAATGCACTTAGAAAGCTTCCCATAGAAATATATATTATTTCATAAGTCCCAATTTTTTTACATGAATTTCATCCTTGACTTCAGCCCTAACAAAATATAATAAAATATGTGTTTCTCAGATTTAACCCCTTTATTGCCAGGTTTATTAGCAAAACCCGAAGTTTGAAAACTGTACAAAAAATGAAAAAAAATCAAATCATTTTTTGTGTTTTATGTCCAGATGAGCTTTTTGGTGGGTAAGTTGTCACAGCCTTGGAGTGTCACAAATAGGCATAAAAATATTTTAGCTCACTTTGTAGTTTTTGTGTAATGTCATATTTTCTAAAATACTCACGTTAAAGTCATTAGAGCACAAAAAATGCACTTAGAAAGCTTCCCATAGAAATATTATATAATATTTCATAAATCCCAATTTTTTTACATGAATTTCATCCTTGACTTCAGCCCTAACAAAATATAAAATAAGTGTGTGTTTCTCAGATTTAGCCCCTTCATTGCCAGGTTTATTAGCTGTCACGAACTCCTCCCGCTGACTTCATTCCAATCATTCCTGCCACCAACGTGACGGCTGACGTCATCACGCCGACACTACTTAAGGAAGTGCCGGCGTTTCATTCATTGCTCAGTCATCGTTCTCACCAGACTTTGTTCCAAGTCTCCAGGCTTACCAGCCCTCTAAACCTTCAAACTAAACCTTAAGGAGATAACCACGCTGGTTATTTCCATCACTCCGCGTCTGGGCAACAGATCCTCTCAGTCACGCTTAGATCTGCCAACGAACCTGACATTAGCAAAACCCGAAGTTTGAAAACTGTACAAAAAATGAAAAAATCAAATAATTTTTTGTGTTTTATGTCCAGATGACCTTTTTTGTGGGTAATTGTCACAGCCTTGGAGAGTCACAAATACGCATAAAAATATTTTTAGCTCACTTTGTAGTTTTTGTGTGATGTCATATTTTCGAAAATACTCACGTTAAAGTAATTAGAGCACAAAAAAATACACTTAGAAAGCTTCCCATAGAAATATTATATAATATTTCATAAGTCCCAATTTTTTACATGAATTTCATCCTTGGCTTCAGCCCTAACAAAATATAATAAAATATGTGTGTGTTTCTCAGATTTAGCCCCTTCATTGCCAGGTTTATTATCAAAACCCGAAGTTTGAAAACTGTACAAAAAATGAAAAAAAATCAAATCTTTTTTTGTGTGTTATGTCCAGATGACCTTTTTTGTGGGTAAGTTGTCACAGCTTTGGAGTGTCACAAATAGGCATAAAAATATTTTTTGCTCACTTTGTAGTTTTTGTGTGATGTCATATTTTCTACAATACTCACGTTAAAGTCATCAGAGAACAAAAAAATGCACTTACAAAGATAGCCAGTTGAACACTTTATTAAAGCACACAAACAAAGAAAAAGTGTGTGTGTGTGTGTGTGTGTGTGTGTGTGTGTGTGTGTGTGTGTGTGTGTGTGTGTGTGTGTGAGGGAGAGAGAGAGAGAAACACAGAGGGGAGTGAGCTAACAGCTGCAGGCTGAGCACACAACTGTTGAGTGCTCCTTGCACACAGCCTGTCCACATGCTTGGCAAAAGCGTGCATGCACGCTCCTCTTCCCCCTGCAAAGGTGTCATTTTTTCTTTGTCTGCTCCTGGGCTGGAGCTGTCTCTGCTTGCTGCTGCACCTGCAACAAAGCTGCAGCGCTGCTGGACCGCAGCAAGCGAGTGCGCCTTGCCTGGGCTGGTCTCACCATGGAGCTCCCAAGCTCCTGCAAGAACAGCCTTCGGCAGATGCTCCTCTTCTGCTGGTTCCAGGCCGGTGTCGGTACAGGATCTGCTCGGGTGCAAGATCGGCTCGGGGTCCGTCGACTGCCGATGACGTCTAAGTAGTTGATTGGCTGAACATGAACCTTACGGAAATACGCAATCACGTTACGTTGTTATCACGTTACGTTGGTCCAGGCAAATCTTTCTATTGGAAAGATGGACAACTTTTACAAAGAAATCCATCATTACCTCTTTGAAAATACACTTTTAGCATAGAGCTGCATGTATATTAGGGCTGAACGATTAACTGCATGTGCAATTAAATTGCGATGTGACAAAAGGAGATTTTCTAATCTCAAAGGCTTCAATTTGGCAGCGAGTGGTTAGCGTAATGCTAATATACATGGAAAAACCCATAGGAATGCTAATGCTAATATCGCCGATTACATTATTACAAATTATGAATTAGAAACGTGCCAAATGATTACATTTGGAGTCTTAAAGAAAGTAAAAATACCATCAATCAAATAAGTACAGACAGGTATTTTAGTAAAGCCAGGAGATTTTCTAATCTCAAAGGCTGCAATTTGGCAGCGAGTGGTTAGCGCAATGCTAATATACATGGAAAAACCCATAGGAATGCTAATGCTAATATCGCCGATTACATTATTGCAAATTATGAATTACAAACGTGCCAAATGATTACATTTGGAGTCTAATAGAAAGTAAAAATACCATCAATCAAATAAGTACAGACAGGTTTTTTAGTAAAGCCAGAAAACTTTTAACTCCAGAGTTTTGGCTAGCAGCTACAGTCTATGACAAGACGTCAACAACTCTAAACACAAAATACTTAAATAAACGGGACACACTTCTTTCCTGCAAATACAATTTCACAGGTGTTGCTAATACCTATGATTCTTCAAGCCAAGGGATGTGCTCAAAGAGGAGTTCAACATTATGAATAAGATATATAAGAAATAGTGTTTTATTTTACAAATACCATTATAAACACAAACTTATGTCTTAAGAAACATTATTTTAATAACGAAAGTGCTAAATTCTTTCCAACAGTATAGATGTGTAGTGCATTTTGTCCGAGTCGGTTTGCCGTACTTTGACGTCATCGGGAGTCGAAGGACCCCGAGCCGATCTTGCACCCGAGCAGATACTGTACCAACACCGGTTCCAGACAGCCACAGGACCAGGGCATTGTAGGCGCTCACATCTAACATGTTGCAGAAGAGCGACATGGGCCAACGTCTGGTCTTGCGACGGCAGCTGTATGTTGCAACGAGCTGGAATAAAAATAAATGAATAAATAAATGACATATGCAATTACGTTGGCGAATTATAATAAAATAAAATAAATAAATTACCTTGTCCAAGTTGTCAACTGCCCCTTTGCAGCGGTTGTAATCGATGATTACGGTCTGCTTCTGCTGCGGTCCCTCCTGACTGACTTCCCCTCATCTTCAAGCTGCTGAAACACCTCCAGGGCTTCATTCACGTTGAAACTTCTTCTCATGGTTGCGGTTCAAAGAAATGAATCCTGATCTGAGTCTCATATATGTACTTTTAGTCAATTGGTGCACCTGTGTAAGCTGCCCCTACTGAATGTAAACAAAATTCGACTCTGCAGGAATTTGTTTTGCAAAACAAATGTACGCCTTTGAAGTTTTTCAGCCTTCATCTTAGCTTTCATCCATGCAAATGCTTTATACTTATTGAAATAACACTTTGCAAAAGTAAAATTGTGAATGAATATCTGAAATTTTGCAGAAAATCCTTTGATTTCTGATATATAGCATGCCTTTAATGAATATTCATGAAGTCAACAGAGTGTGAGAACCTGTGCCCCCCCCCCCCCCCCACACACACACACACACACACTCCCATTGCCCACACCTGCTCAACCACTCCAGATAATGATCACAGATCTGCTTTTTGAAGATCTGTAAAGTGCTTTGATACCTACATACATGCATGCCTGCACAATCACACACAAAGGAACACATGTCAAAATGCTATTTTGCAGAATAAGCTAATTTTGTATATTCAGTAAGGCTTATTTTTTGAAAGAACACTGAAAAAGCACAATTACCAAAAATTCAGAACACACACATGCAAACTATTGAATGGCACCTCTAAATAACACACAAATCTTTTTTTTTTTGTGCAAAATATGTATTATAATGGGCAGTCAGAGGTAAAGAAATACAGCTAAATCATTCAGTTTAAATGCTGGTTCAGCCATTGCCCTGCTATATATGGAGAAAGTTTGCCATGTAGTGAAAAACGGTAAAAACTGCTTCTTACATTTGTGATGAGACTGTAAACATGGGCACAATCATAATTTTTTTAAATTATGCCAATATTTATGCTAATTAAAAATATATGATTTACATGAAAGTCAATGGCACAAAAATGCTTCAATGTGCTTAAATGTACAAAATGATTTCCACGTTTTAATAAAGTAGGTTGAATATTTTTTCAAACTTTTTTTTGTAATTCCTTCCAAAATACACATCCTCCGTAAAAATTAGATAAATTGCATTAACATAGCCAAAGTTATTCACACAAATACACGTGTCAGCACAAAAAATGCTCTAATGTGAGGTTAGGGTTAAAAATGTGGGCGTAATTGTAATTGTCAAAAACTCCAGCGAACCAACCAAACCCCCACCCCCCACCCCACCCCGCGCCGCTTCAGGTGTATGACGTCATCAACGACAAGTCAAAGTCGACTCGATTTTCATTACTTGACTGTCGACTTTTAAAAAAATTAAGTCATGCAACCCCTAGTAGAATACCGTGGTATCGCCTCTTCAATCCAGAGATGTCTCGGGTCACAACAGCTGGATGGATCTGTGCGTCTGGCGGACTCTTAAGGAGTCTAACGATATCAGCTTTGTTTCTGCAGGAACTGTTTGCTCATCAGCTTTGTAGGTGCAAAAAGGCTGTGACGACGTGTCAAAATCTTTGATGGTTAAAGAGGTTTACTACAGATAGCCGGTCTGAAGTGATTCTCTAGAACTGTCGAATCACCCAGGATGATCCAGTTTTAAGGTTTTGATGTTATGATTTGCACAGCCAATCAGAGGCTGACAAGTTTGAGAGATGTTACCAAGACAACTCAGAAACACGCCTTCTTGATACAGGATGTTCTGACTGGGTTAATATTATGTGTGTCAGTGTTTAACTTAGCCGTACTTGTTATTGTGTGAGTGCAGGTGTGAGGACCTCGTCGTCAAAACATGTTGAACACATGGAAGGTTCTAGTAGACAAACATAGCATCATATCTATTCAGTGAGCACAAATTAATGAAGCATTTCATTATACTATAATTATTATAAGTAGTAACAAACAAATGTTTATTTAATGATTATGTAGATTATAAGTCATGGAAGAAGTTCATATTGATTTAAGAAACTAGTCTCGAATTTAGCAATTGATTCGAGCTGAAGTTCTTCCTTCTGTGGAGGCAGACAGATGGGAGCTTGGGAAATAAAGTTATTGTTTAATTTTCAGACTTGCAGAGTCTGAATCCCAGCTGGTATGAAGTCAGGCTCATTTAAAGGGAGCACATGCAGTGCTGTGTCTCCTTTCTGACCAGATGTGGAAAAGATGTTGAAAGGTCAGACTGTACCTAAACTGAGCATTGCTGAAGGTGACACTGCTTAGGGAGTTCTAATGTTGACACTGTAATTAACTATGATATGAAATTTTCAATATAAGTGCTGAACAATTTCTCAAGCTACAAAATGTCCTCAACCTCCCATATTGCTGAGCACAGTTTGCTAAAAGTTAATACCTGATTTATACGTCTCCGTCTGCGTTGGTGCAGAGACACACAACGCCATTATGCGTCGGTGCACAGGTTCTCCGACGGGCTCACAGAGGGTGACGGAGACATGCCCAAAATTTTATACATCCGTCAAAAGTGATGGAGACCGCAAGCTTGTGATTGATCAGGACGCCACTTCCTGTAAAGTCGTCACCAGCACCGCTGTAGCTCCGTTAAAAAGTAAACAGATATTTAGTAGCAGACCCAGAACAGATTGAAGCACGTGTCACGGAAAAAGTCTGAAAATATTAACATTTATTTACTCGTAAGTGAAGGAGCCCAAAATACGGAGCAACATGGGCGGACTCTATGAGAAACGTGGGTTCTCATGGGTGGCAACCGCATGAAGAGGTGGAGGAGAATTAAGGACAAATTTGTCCGTGTTATAAAGTCTCTGAAATATATAAACACGTTAGTAAACACACTATAATGGACCGGATGGATACACGAGTGTTATGATGGCAGGATACCACAGAACAGTGCTACGCCCGCTGTTGTCCTAGCGGGGAATAGCTTAGCAACACTTAGCTGCCTGAACAGAAGTTCGAATGTGAAAACTTTTCCGACACTCCGTGTGTGTCTCTCCGTTACGGAGCTCACAGAGAAGTATAAATCAGGCTTGGGTCTTAGGACTTCATTTAACATCTCGTAAATATGAGTTAGCTAAGTCATAATAAGAAGAAACTATCTCCAAATAATAATGAGATAGCTATCTCATTATTATGAGATAAAATTAATAATTAATCTTAATAATTATTTTTTTAAAATAATTATTATTTTTATCAGGATGGCAGAAATGGGCTTCCATAAACTATAGAGTGTTTGTTATAATGTGAACAATCACACAAATAACTGGATTTGATCAAATCATTGGAACTGAGTATTACAGCTACAGTGTGAATGTAGCTTAGGTCGCATTGTGCCATCCTGATGCCTAAAAAGGTGAAAAGCTCCAACATGAAGAAGCCAGTCTTCACTGGGACACAAAGACACCACCACCACAAGAAGATAAGATACAGGACAGCTACATACGTCAAACTTGGCTGATGCCGTGGAGGCAATGTGGGCAGTGCTGCCTCCTAACTGCTCCCGGAAGCAGTCTGTGAAGGGCAACAGGAGGCCCATGGCCAAGATCTTAGAGCAGAGCCTCTCAGCCTCCTCTGGCTCCTCCTGCCGCTGCTGCAGGAACAGCTTCTCCAGAAGAGTACGACCTAGATCGCCACAGTTGGAACACACAAACACACCTAGTTACTGTCCTGGTTTGTGCTGTTCTGCTCTCAGACCTTAAACCTGTGGAGATTAACTGGCGTTTGTTCTAGTCTACAGCAGATGGAAGCTGGGCTGGCCTGTTTCTAGCTTGTTTCACCCGTTTTGAAAAACATCTATTTAATTAAAGGAACGTGGTTGTCTCTGAAGCCAGAAGCATTGCCATGGTGATGTTGTTCCTGGGACTCCACTGCCTTGCAGCCCCGACGCCGGATGGCTTCTCTGTACCTTTGCGTACATGATCATCTGAGATGCCGGGAACAGGTTCACAGCGTGGAGGTGAGGGTTAGCAGCCAGTCATTACACCACATTCAAACAAGGATAGCTGTTGTTAGTGCCAGAGCTTAACTTGAGCCTGTCTTATTTTGAAAGGACGCGTACCGGTGACTTTCTGCTAGGATGCAGCAACTACTCTTTTTTTTTTTTTGCCAGATATTTTTATTGAAAATTTAACATTAACTTTTTGAAAAACATAAACAACAAAAAAGAAAACAACAAAACCAAACATTGAACCCCCCATCCACCCACCCACCCACACACACACACACACACACACACTCTTACACACCCCCTCTACTCTGGCTCAACTCCTCATATCACATCTCAATATCTGTCAGCAGCTTTTGATACGATCGATCATAACATCCTGATCTCCAGACTACACACATGGGATAGCATCTCAGGTTTGGCCCTTGATTGGTTCCGGTCCTACTTTCCTAGCAGGACCATCAGCGTCATGCTGGACATCTTCTCATCACAGTCAGCCTCCCTTCCCTGTGGGGTCCCACAAGGATCTATTCTTAGCCCGTTACTGTTTTCCATACATGTTCTTCCATTAGGAGCCATTCTCAGAAAGCATGCAGTTTCATATAATCTATACACGTATGACTGCTAAACCTATTTTTCACTTAAACCCACCGACTCCACCAAGCCTCTGTTTGATTGTCTCCATGATGGGAAGGAATGGTTGGCAGAAAACTTCCTCATCTAAATTTCTCTAAAAAAGAGGTAATTGTTTTTAGCCCCAACACTGCTAGAGTGACCCAGTCACCTGACCTCCACTCTCCCTCTCCTCAGATAACACCCTCCGCTTCAAATCTGGGAGTAAAAATGGACCCGGTTATGAAGATGGACGCTCAGGTCAACAGCACCATCAAGTTCTGTTTCTACCACTTTAGGCAAATTTCTAAATGAAAGCCCATCCTGAGTGTCCGTCTTCTAGAGTCAGTGATTCATGCCTTCATCACATGCTGGCTAGACTACTCCAACTCCTGTTTATACGGCATCAGCAAAGCAGCTCGTTCCAGACTTCAGCAGCACAGATTCTGATCACACCCATTCTGAAAACACTGCATTGGTTGCCCGTTCAGTTCCTGAACAGAACTACTACTTGCATTCAAATATTTGAACAGTCAGGCCCCTCCCTATCTAAGCAAATTCCTCCATTTCTACCACCCTTCTCGTGCTCTTAGGTCTGCAGATAAACTCCTCCTCACCGTCCCTAAGGCATGTTTGAGGACTCGCGAGGAAAGGGCTTTTTGTATCTGTGCCCCAAAACTTTGGATTTCACTACCCCTTCCTGTTAGACAAGCACCCTCGCTCCCCATCTTTAAATGGAGGCTGAAAATGCATTACTTCTCCATGGCCTTCGATTCTTAGCATCAACAATTTTTTATTCCTCCTTCCACCGTGGTTTTTCTGTCCTAAATCTATCTGACCACTTTTAATATTTGTATTGTTTTTATTGTTTTTGTTTGTTTGTAACCGTACTTTGTTGTATTATTTTTTATTGTTTTTAATGACTATTTAATGCTTTTGTAGTTTTATTTTGTACAGCGCATTGGTTGGTTGTAATACCATGTTGAAAGCGCTTTTAGAAATAAAATGCTATGGTATGGTACTTGTATATTTTTGTTTTATGAGTTTTTACTTGCACTGGTTTTATGTAATATTTTTTATTGTTATGTCCTGTAAACCACTTTGGACACCTTCCATGGGTGTGGAAAGTACTATACAAATAAACTTGATTGACTGATAAAAAAGCCAAATTAAATCCAAACATTTCAGATGGACCGTATAACAGCTGCTAGCGTTGGCCCTGCCCTCCCCTCCAAACCTTCACAGTTTGGAGGCTCACGCTGGTGAGGAGACACCATTAGTTCTAGTAACACCTGGGCTCCCAAGGCCTATTCTGACAGGATGAATTTTACGGGACCTTTAAGGATTCCAGTTGGATGACTGGGCAACAGCAACTTCTCGCGCTCGAAGGAGCCTCTATATTACAGTTCCTTTATCCGTGTCCATCCTAGAGCTCCTCTCTGACCTTCATGCTTATTCAGAGCAGCTGATTTTTAAAGTTAGCAGAGTTCATCCTTGGTGGTGGGTTCACTCACTCATTTAACCCTTCACCACTGAAATCAGCTTGTTCATTACAATCCTCCTAAATAATCCTCCAATCATCCAACTGGAATCCTTAAGGGTCCCGTAACATCCATCCTGTCAGAATAGGCCTTGGGAGCCCAGGTGTTACTAGATCTAACGGTGTCTCCTCACCAGCGTGAGCCTCCAAACTGTGAAGGTTGGTCTCCAAACATGAACTTTAAATTCATGCTTTTATCTCCTCTTGTAACACTTTAACATGTTTTAAAAGGCTTGCATCATGATTTGTTACACCTCCCAGACCAAAGATAAGATAAAACGTTATCGTAGACACTATTGAGACGCCATTTATGAAATATAAGTTATTTTCCTGAGCCATTACTTCAGCTAAGATATAGGATGTCTGGATTTGAGGAAACCATGCTGTCTCATGCAGTCCTATATGTGTAACTGTCACGGCTGCCAGCCTTGAGTGAAGAGCAGGGTCCAGGATCACCCAGCTCTAGTGAAACAGCCGGTCACCGCCCCTCCTTCTCCTCTCTCCCAGGCTGCTGAGGAGCACAGCTGAGTTGAATCTTCCTTGATTGCCAACACCTGCATATAAAGGCTGTGCCTTCAGCAGTCTGGGAGGCAGCAGTGCAGTGGTTCTGTTTCGTTCCCTCCTGACTGCCAGTGGCAGTAAACAGAGTGGATGTATCTCCTCGCGCTCTGCGCAGGTCGAGTACTAATGTAAACAAAGTCACGCACGTGACACGTAGCGCACCTGGTTACGAGTCTATAAATTACATGCCGATAGCTACGTTCGGGTCTCTTTGATCTTCTCGCTGTTGACCTGGCGTGCTTCACTGGTCAGTCGCTCCGTAAGTCCGTGATTCGGATCTTATCGGTCTAGAGGTGAGTTCTGCTTCTACTGGCGTCTTCCTGCCCGGGACCGTGTGGTCGGAGCGCTCGGAGGAGCGCTCGGAGGAGCCCTCTGGGGCGGTGGATTGACGCTGTTATCTGTCATTTGTTACTGAGTGCGAGCGGTGCGTCCGGCGCCATTCGGACCGCCGCTGCCGGCTCGGATAGGGCTCACTGGCGGTCGTAGGTTTTCCCCTGTGGAAAGGGGAGGGGGTTGCGGCCGGCGAGCACTACAGGTAAGTGCTGCTGGACGTTCTGACCGTGGAGGTGGCACGCTCAGATTACCCAGCCGACACACACACGTGTGTTGTTTTACAACTCCAGGACTGAATTGCGTTCTTCAGTTTTCCTCAAAGTCCTCGCTCAGTTCCTGTGGAGTCGCTGGCGTCTCCCACACCGGTAGGGATGTTGGCGTGTACGTCATGCGGGGCTCCCCTCCTGGTGGAGGACGGCCACGACTTGTGTCCAAAGTGTCTGGGCGTCGGTCACCTCAGAGAGGCACTGACTGACCCATGCATGAACTGCAGCATTTTGCCGCTGGCGGTGTGGGAGGACAGGCTACGTCAAGTAGAGTGCCTCCTGTTTGAGTCAGACCTGCCGCCCTCTGGTATCCCTCCCCCGTGTTCCGGGAGATGAGGGATAGACCGGCTGAGGAACGCGGCAGCCCGAGGCGCAAGAAGCGGCGTGTGGCGCACCCCTCTCGCCAGGAAGTGGACTCTTTGCGGGCAGAGGTGGAACAGCTCAAAGCGCTGCTGACCAGAGCCCCGGACGAGGGGGGCTTGGATGACCTGATCTCTATGAGGGCCTCAAATTCTGAGTTTCAGTCCCTCAAGGAGGAGGGCCCCTCTCCGGGTTGTAGTCAGGGGCTGGTAGTGGAGCTCCCAGGCCTGGGAGGTCACGGAGACACGGATGTCCCTCCATAGCTCAGCAAGCTCAGAGCTGGCATAGGACTCCTGTCAGTTGAGGGCGATTTTGCAAGCAGCACTGGCCAGGATTGGACTGGACAACGAGCCGGTGGCCCGTCCGGCGGGGAATCCCTTCTTCCGCCGGGCTCTGTCGGCGCCCCTGTTTCAGGTCAAACCATCGCCGGCCTTTGTGGAGGAGCTGCAGCGGTGCTGGGGGGACCCGAGACAGCTCTCCCACCATGGTAGGGATGCCAGGACCCTGGCATCGATGGGAGGCAGGAACCTACGGGTTGGACCACATGCCCCCGGTGGACCACTGCGTTGCCTCTTTGGTGCTCTGCCCGGATGAGGCATTGAGGGACAGGGTCCGCTGTCCGAGCACCCAGTGTCGGGTGACCGACAGCTTACTGTGCCGGGCTTACGACATCTGGGCAAGGATGGCGCGCACCAGCAATTCGCTATCGGTGCTGTTGCTAGCCCAGTCCCAGTTGGGCTGCAGTCGGGCGCAGCGGGGATGGCACTGGGCGATACAAACGACGCAGCCCTGCAAACGTTTGGGCTGATGTCCAGGGAGCTTGGTCAGTTGTTGGGCACACTGGTAGTGGCTCGCCGTCAGGTCTGGTTGGCGCAGGCCCCGGTGTCGGATGACTGCCGACAGAGCCTGCGCGGACTGCCCGTGGTGCCGGGCCAGTTGTTTGGGCCCGAGGCTGAGAGGGTGTTGGAACGTCGGCGGCAGTCCAGACAGGCCGCAGAGGCCTGGA